AACAACACATACTACGCGCGTGCCTCCCCATCAGTAGTATCACCGTTACATTAGTAGCTAACTGCGTTGCTTACTTTTGGGGAGTAAGGGTATCGTTTAAGTCATTTCCCCTGGTGATACTTTTTGGCAGGTTTAGAGGTCTTTGCTTCTCACTCTCGTGCTGCTGACTAAACACAGCCACCTAAACGCCTCTCAGTTCATATCGACTGATGTATTGTACTTCAGCCTAATCGCTGGAATGATACTGCTTTTTCGTACGAGACTGAGAGCAAGAATCTGCTCCGCATACAAGCGGGTTAACAGGATGCAATGCTTATTCCACCAGCCGAAGATGAAACATTTTCCAGTTCACAAAGTGACAGACTTGCTGTTTGAAAATAAACCTCACAGTGGAAGCTTTCCATGCATTTGATCCATATTTATCGGTCAAATGCCACGTTAAGCGGCCGACGTTCCAAGCCGCGTCATGCCGCCCTGTCATCGCACTCTTTCTACTATTGGCCGGGTTCGTAGTTTGTCTCAGGATGCGTGTGAAGCAACAGTTCCAATGCACCATAACCTCCCAATAAGTACCCCCCTTCATTCGGTTAATAAGTGACCTAGTTTTCTTGCGATTAATCGAGTTTGACTGATTGGTTCAAGAAACACTCCTCTATAGTGACTTGGTGGTGGACACGGGCTCATAGTTCCATCAAATCGCGAGTGTATATTTTTTCGACGATGGATACGCGTTCCTTCCGCTTGAAGCTGGATTCTCCTTTGCACACGGAGAAAGCCCAAAACAACTGGCACTTCATCGCCCGTTAAGGAAAGCGTGCGATGTGTCCATCTTTCGACAAGGAAGCAACCCCATCGAAATGAGATTTTAGTGTAGTGCTTTAAGGAAAGCGTGCGATGTGTCCATCTTTCAGCAAGCAAGAAAACCCATCGAAATAGGATTTGAGCGCGGCACTTTTTCCCCGTGAAAGCCCAGAAAATTTGACCGTATTAAAGAGGTGCTACTGTACTGGGACCTACGACTGTGGTACACTGAGACACGCGTTCGTATCAAAGGGGAAGTTTGTTGGATAGGAGAAGCCTCGCATTCCTCCCCATGACAGAGAGTATGAAAGGCTTCTTTCTTGCGCCCTTACCATTTTGCCCTTGCTTGGTTCCAGCATGCAAGTTGTATCTAGTATGGACAGAGCTCTTTCATAGATGCGAAAATAGCTCTTGTGGTTATGCCCTTGAATCAGCTGTTGGCTGGTTGCCAATCCTGACTTCGATCTCCGAGGCGACCGTCATTTGTACGTGCCAACGTACGAGTTACTTGGGTATGTACGTGTGTTTGAATGTGTGAATTGCTTCGAAGATGGAGTGGTCGTTGTTGTGCAACGGACTTTTTGAATAGGCCCGAACGAAAATAGGCCCAAACTTCAGACGTGTGGAATACACGTGATCCACTTCGAAAATAAGCTATCGCGATTGAAAAGAGAGAGCAAAAGTCGCGCGAGTTTTGTAGTTGGATCTAGAATTGAGCAGCCTGGTAGTAGAACAAGTCACTTGGAGTTTGTCGAAAGAGAATTCCAATGTCACTCCCTTGCACTGGATAGTCTTGATGGACTGAAGAAGCGACAAGCTTCATGCTCGGAGCCAAAGCACATTTCATTCTTGAGTCTACAGTCCGTTTCCAGTAGGGTAACATCTGTGGAAATTCATACACATTTGTATTTGGTTCATGTTTCCATTACAACCAAAAGTTGATTTCTTTGTTTAATTAGAGCAGCCTCTAGAAACTGTCGTGGTCTCTATTGGGAGAACCGAACGTAACGGGACTATATAACAGCCAATGGAATAACCGTTTTCGTTGAGATAGATTTCGTTGGTTGTTCTTCACGCCACCTTGACAGATGAGTTGTACTCTCAGTATCACTTTTTGTACGCGACAGTGATCAATAGATCAACCGGTTCGCACGTTCGTTGACTTTTTCTGGTTTGGCCAAGCGCACCAGGCTATCAATCGGCTATCCAGACCGAAGTTCACGGTAATAAGAAGGCATTAAGGAGACTGTGGTCCACAACAGCTTCAAACGTCCCCCGAATGTGACTGGATGTTGTATCTTCATCATAGGTCCATTTGGGTTAACTTTGTCTCCATTTTCCATGGCTATTTGTTTCCTCTATTCAGGTTCGTGTTCAGCCAACTGGCCGTGGTAGCGTACGGTCTGTCTGTGTAGAATTTTATCCAAACAAAGACTGATTCTGGAGCTCATTTCTGGTGGCGACTACAGCCATTTAGTTTTTTTTCAAACCAGTCTTTTCAGAACTATGTGCGCCACGTGGAACCAATTTAAATAATCATCTCTACATGATTAAAATAGTAGCTTAGGTCCGTTAGGTCCTGTTATTCTACTCCTTTCCTGGGCGAGATGGCCCAAGTGGTTAGAGCGCGAATTTACTGACCGGAAGGTCCGTGGTTCGAATCCGACCCCCGCCACTCGACTTCCCCTGTCTAGGTTTGGGCAACCTGGCAGTATCCCAGCCCTCGTGCTTCCTTCGGGTGGCATGGCAGCTAGGCACCGGAAAGGGGCTACAGCTGAACGCTTTCTTTTCTTTCTTTCTTTCTGTTACCTCGTCCTCGTTCACTTCACTCTCACTAGGGTCGGAATAACTTTGGCAACATCTACGTGTGGGCTTCGGGCAACGGTGGATCTCAGTACGATTCGTGCGCTTGTGATGGTTACGCTAGCAGCCCGTTCACCTTATCGGTTAGTGGTGTGGGTGAACGTAACCTGCGTCCCTGGTACTTGGAAGAATGCTCGTCCACCTTGGTGACAACCTACAGCAGTGGTGCACACTCAGAAAAGATGATTGTAAGTTTTTTTCATAAAGGAAACTACTCAAGGTTGCTTGAAACTCTTCGACAGCCCACGACCGGTTTCGCCCTTCTTGGGGCTCATCAGGTAGGCGCAGTCCCCGAGTTTCCGTCAACCTGATGATCTACTTGATTATAAGTTGTTTTCTTGACAAAACACCGTTTCTTAGGTAGCCGTAAACGGCTGTTCGTTTGCGACCTTTTCATTCCCGTTCCCCCGAAAACCGCTTTGTTTTTGTACAAATCTTTTTTGAAAATCGTTTGGGGACTTACAGCAAAAGAGCCTTCTCTTACAGGTCCTTCAGCCAGAACTACTGTCTTTTCCGTGACATTCCTTGCACGCCGTTGCGACATTTTGGTTAACTTTTTTTCTGCTGATATCTGCGGCACAATCATCTGGTTTCTTGAGAGTCCGCCCGAACATACTGTCATGTCTACGACAGACTGGTGCAGAAGGTTCTGTTTTAGGTGGCTGCAGGATTTGTCCAGATCAACTCATTTCCCCTTGTTCTGTCGTGATTTCCTTATCTGACTTACTAAATTTGCGTTTCACTCTTGTTAAGGCCCAGTCGCGGTGCGTTTGTTTCGCTGTAGAGGGATTACTGTCGGCTTTCAAATGTACATGACGGGCGTGCTCATCACTTCATCACCGATTCACGGTCATACAATCCGAATTATCTCATAAGCAGTTAGACTTGTCTTCACTTAAATGACGTACTGTTTTCTTCATAAGACGACCCAGTACTTGTCCACCTAGCCTATCTCTTAATGCCACACCTATTCACAGCAAAAATTTGCCAACTACCGATGTCCCTATCGAAAGCAATCAGCTCAAAACTTATTTTTTTTAAAGCTTACTGACAAAATAGCCACAGGTGTAAGGTGGGGTGATTGGTCGTCTGCACTTTACTCTGTGTGGTTTCCGTCGAATTCCTCAGTACCCATTAGGCTAATAGCTCTGGGTCTTTCCTACCAGGGAACTAACAAATAACTGTGTAATGAGCGAAACAGCTTCCTCCCCCCTTTGATTTAGCCAGTCTGTATAACCCTGGCTTAGTTACACAGCGTGGAAATTTGTAGTTCCTTTTTTCCCCTCACAGTCATTACTTCTGTCCTAGCTGACTTTTTTCCTACACATTTACCGAGCATTAGTCAGTTTGCTCTTATCTCTTTGCTTCGTGTGTCACGAAGGAGAAGGATATGGACTGTTTGTCGTTTTTACTTTATCCCAGTAACCCCGTCGCCACTTTTTTCCACCGTGTGAGTTAGTTACACACATTCGTACAGTGATTGGTGTAATGAATCACAAAGAATCAGCGGTGTTCCGAACTGATGTCGTTGTTCGCTGTTAACTATCATGGGCACCAATGAATGCGCACCCGGTCAGCCTGGAATAGAATCTCTTAGACCAGTGTAGTTCTTTTCTCAATTTTTTGCTTATTCAACTGGCTTTGTCTGATTTGATCTTAATGTTAACTCATTAGCCCCATTGCTCTTCACGAATGTAAGGTCCTATTGAATTCAGGATCATGATTACGTTAACCGCTCCAACGTTTACCAACCGATTGCTAGCCTGATTTTTACTTTTGGTGTGCATGAATCTACTCGTTTGCACCATTAACAATACACACTGCACACCCGTTTGCCGTCTGCCACTAGTGTTTGATACTTTGGCGCACACTTACACCTGTCTAACCTTTTCCTTGTTTATGCTTCTGGTTCGTAAAGGCTACCGTTGACCCAAATCAGAAGTGCACTACCACCCATACGGGGACGTCAGCCAGTGCGCCCATCGCGGCCGGTATCATCGCTCTATTGCTGGAAGCCAAGTGAGTGTTTACATAATGCACTACTCATAAGGTTGCTGAAACTTCTTCGACAGCCCACGACCAGTTTTGCCCTTCTTGGGGCTCATTAGGTAGGCACAGTCCCCGAGTTCCCGTCAACCTTATGTTTTACTTGAAACCAAATTGCACGATATTAGCGAAATGTGCTCATTTGCAAACATATTTGGTTTTTCGAGGGACTCACCTGGAACCCAGCTGAATCTCCCGTTTATGGTGTGTCCAGGCGACTGAATGCGCTGCACCAGGCTGCCTCACATTTCAGTTGGTACGATATCCGAGATATCGCGATACATGTATATACGTAATGCACTACTCAAAAGGTTGCTGAAAACTTCCTCGACAGCCCACAACCGGTTTTGCCCTTCTTGGCTATCCTGACTGATTCTCATGTGGATATATGGATGACCGTGTTCTTTGTTCCACACTCATGCATCACTCAGCACTTGTTTTGAGTGCTTTTATTGCCGTTCTTGTTTTCATCCGGATGTCCACCGGCCGCTGATTGAAATCTTATTACGAGTGATTCCATCGTCAGAAATGAACCCCGACCTGTGTGAGAAGCATACCAAATCGTATGTAACGATCCTTAGGTTCACATTCGAAAACAGATATCATTGAAGCATGGATTGCTTTGTTTGTTATAGATACTTATAAAACCGCGGTTCTCCAAACAGTCATCTTATCCCCTCAACGTCACCCCCTATAGAAAGCTTTTACCATTCGCTGGTGCCCAAGAAATGTCCTTGAACCGCAACTTTTCAAAGCAACGATCGACTAGCAACTCTGAGCTTTAATTGGATCGGTTCGTTTAGTCAAAATGGTGGAAATCAACTCATTTTTGTCCTTGAGGGAGAATGGTACTGGGGGAACCCGTCCCTTGAAAATATGCCTTTATCTTTACTATTTTTGCGTATGAAAGCTGCTGCAGCGGTAACTTCAAAATAGTTTCCGCCCATGTTCCTCAGTGCAATACGTGACCTTCCGTTCATTCGCTGGATGTCTATCCACATGTTTTGTCACTAATGGTTTCACGGAATTCATCCGTTTGTGTGTGCGCGTGACTTCTCTGTCAACATTCGGTTCTGAGTCGGCTTTCTGGCTTGCCGTTTCATTCTTCGCATTTTTTCGCTTCAAGCTATCGGTCCACACCCACTCAAACACAACACAGACAAAATGGTAGCTCTGAATTGTTTGCCGTCTCATTCCGTTTTTCTTTACAAAACATTTGGAAGTAATAGTGAGGGCATCAGCGTCGCGCGCAGTCCCACCGACCCGAACCCAGCTGCGCCTACCGCATCCGTCAGTTTGAGTAAGTGGATTGATGCCTTACTACCACCGGCTAATGTTCCGGTCGTTTTTAAGAGTTCTTCCCCCTCCGAACTACAATCATCCCAGAGAGCCGCGGCTGTTCTGTTTACTGGCTCTGTTCTTCCACTGTTTGGTGGAAATCTCCAAATACAAACTCCGGAAAATATAGTTATTTTTTGTCAGCACAAACGGGAAGATTATGTCGATTAACGCCGCACTTTTTAACCCAAAGTGTAATATGCTCACGTATTTGTGATTGTGTTTTTTCTCACCGCCCTTTTACTCGCTTCTCTCACGCACATGTTTACCACCACTTCCATGGTCCGAATGCCGACTGAACCCGCTTTTATGCCTGCGCCGCTCTTCACCGCCCATGATCGATCTTAAATATAAATAAGTAAATCGTTCAACTATAACCTCTTTCCGGCGCTTAGCTGCCTTGCTACCCGAAGGAAGCACGAGGGCTGGAATACTGCCAGGTTGCCCAAGCCTAGACAGGGGAAGTCGAGTGGCGGAGGTCGGATTCGAACCACGAACCTTCCGTTCAGTAAATTCGCGCTCTAACCACTTGAGCCATCTCGCCCCCTGATCAGTCTTGTGTATTAGGGTTTCGTCTCTCACTCCTATCATAGCAAGCGATCTATAATGGTACTCCTACTGAGAGATGAAGTAATCAGGGTTTTTTCCTACATGTCAGGATCGATCCGTGTTGGTTTTAGTGGTCACTAATGCGTCTCTCCCACGGAGAAGGATGCTAATCCCTTGGAGGTTGACAGGGGTGACGAAGGATGCTAATCCCTTGGAGGTTGACAGTACGACTCAGTTTTTAAAGACGGTAGGCCTAGTGGTAAGACTCTACATAACGATGTCTTGTTCGCTTATGGCTCTGCAAAACTGGATGCTGAGAAAACTCCCGATTTTAAACGCCGAAATCTCCCCACTACCTACAAAAGTTCAGAGTAATATTGTTATGGAAGCCGACCTCTGATGTTACATATTCCTCCATATCCCCCCCTTGCGCATTTGTTACAAAATGTCCCGTTACTCGGTGATTGTCGTTTCGCTCACTTAACTTTTTGAAGTTTTTTTTCACGAATTAATTTTCCCGTTCTTTATTCTCCAATATCCAGTACTATTTCGTTCAGGTCACCAGTTTAATGTTGATGTTCTTAATCCTGTCCTACAACTATTCCGCTTGCGTCCCGCGTTCTCAGCTCCCGTCCTCATTAGCATATGGCTGATTGAACCGAGGATTTTGTCATTTATTTCTCGGCAATGAAATGCAATCGGGTTCGGAATACTTATGCAACTGGGTCAATAGTTTAAGCCGTATAACCAGATCCAGTAAATGGGATACCTATTACGCTCCATCTGTTTTCTACACGTTTCTCTCAGTCCTCGTTTGAGTTGGCGCGATGTGCAATATGTGACGCTGTTGGCTGCAAATCCAGCGCCTTTTCTAGACGGGAATTTCACCAAGAATGCTGTCGGACGATCGTGTGAGTTTGTCGTTCGAAATCTGTCTTTGTGGTTTCTTTTTTTGCAGTGACTATTACCGTTACGTGATACGTTTGCTTCAGGATCGTTCTATGCAGACAAACTGCCAAACAGTGTTTTGCAACTTTACCGGGTTCACTCGTTGTGTTGTCGTTTGACGATGCACTTGCACAGCATCTCTCAAGAAGGATCATCACAGGGAAGAACACTACTAGTTCTCTAGGGCCGTAGCCCTCCTTGGGGTTTTTCCATCGGTGGCTACTGCAAAGAACGACCTACCAGGCGTACCACATTTCAGAGTGGTATGTATGATAGATGCAGGTACCCTGTACAAATGAATGTCTCATTCAATTTTCGTTTGGGATGGTATTCATAGTTCATCTGTGGTTCTCACTAACTGGAGCACACGTGTTGATTGCTTGTACTTCCCTACCGGATTCGTGCGTTGTCGTGAATGCTCAAACCTAAGTAACAGAAAAACGGAATACTCACTCGTAGTTTCTGGATAAGGTTTCTGGTCCCAGGGGTATCATCCTCACTATTAACCGTATTTGTCTTACAGCGGTTGTAACTGCCACAGTTTCGTTCACCGATGATTTGGGGAGTTGAAGAGTAAACAACCTGTTACACCGCGATAAGACCATGTCGCTCACCAACAGGTGAGTTAGCCCAAATGCAGGTCTGATTTGCTGCAGCCAATGATCAACTGCGGTGCTCGAACGATTTTTGCGTACATTTTTAATCGATCTACCGTGTCGCCCATCCATCCCTTCGGTATCTCGTTACCTGATTACACACGGAAACAAATATCTGACTGGGGAATGTGGTCGTATAAATCTCATAAATTCTCGAGTAGATCGTCTATCTCCCACGACTTTGAGTGATCCTTCGAGGCACGAAATTCCTTGAAGGACGGAGAATATCAATACCAATAGGGATGTGTCAGTTCACGAGAGGGGATGGTTGAAAGTAGGTTTCCTATGATCCACCATTGTGGATCATACTGTTTCATCTGGATACATGTAACTGAGGGCACTAAAACTTCAACACGATTGAAGAATCCTTGGTCATGCCCTTTAGTCCCTTCATTAGAAGGAACAGAGAGTGCTGACCAAAGCTGGTCGGCCATTAGTATGCTTGTAATGGTTGTTTACTAGATCGATTGTTCTGATCGCGCATCTGATTCATAACCGCATTTATAAGTACCAGTGCTGACCAAAGCTGGTCGGCCATTAGTGTGCTTATAATGGTTGTTTACTAGATCGACTGTTTTGATCGCGCATCTGATTCGTAACCGCATTTATAAGTACTGATACCCTCCGACTCATTCATTAATTACTGAAGTTCATCGATCATACAAGTGTAACGGTGATACTACTGATGGGGGAGGCGTGCGAGTAATGTGTTTTGTCGGAAACCCGCTTCGCGTCTCTTGAAAACTGAGATCTGTTACGGAATTTGTGGAGTCCCTTTGTAACATTTGCTTGGATTTGAGCAACAGTCAGTGAATATCGTGAAAAGTTCAGGAAGACGCGTTCAAAGAGAGGATGTAAACAAGATGCATATGAGAGTTTTGCTTCCCTGTCCAATAGTCTGTAACCGTTCAGTTGGCATTTCCCGCAGCGGAGGCGTTCTTCCTTTCACCAGTAGTGTACGTAGTATAATTTTATTTTCTTACGGTCTGTCGGAGATTCCGGGAAAACTTTGTTCGGTTACGTGACATTCTTCCGGATCAGATCTGCCGTGCAATCACTGAGATACTACTAATTTTACTCTTTTGGGACAAGTCAGCTCAACTGACTGACCTCCTGATCGGGAGCTTGCGTTTGGAACTTCACGGTTTTTCAAGCTTGGTGTGAATCGACTGAAGTTCACTGCGCCTAGCTGACCATCCATCTGACGCTGCCGTAAAAGCGATCAACGCAAATTCTAGTCGCACAGGTCTACGGAACGGACGGTACTTCACAACCGCCGACTTACTATCCCATTCTAATGATGTGTATGTAGGTCTATTTTTCATTCACAAACGACTTTTACTGGACAGCTAGAATGAACTTCCAGATACTTGTCCGGAACTGGGTTTTCAGCGACCTCCCATGTCTTTACCTCTTATTTCAAGGTTACCTCCATCCAGTTCAGTATACTTCCACTTATTGTACAGAATGATTGCTGAAGACGAAACCAATAGTTTAGTCGTTTTTGGTTCAAATTGCAATATATGTTCTGGCTTCCTGTGTACTTTCGTCCACTTGGTCCATCAAGTGTGCTATCAATCATTCAATTACGGCCAATTTGTGGCAAACTCGCCGGGTGCATTTGGGTTCTTTGGTCACGTGTTCTCTTCAGTTTTACGCGCTTCGACGGACTCCAGCAGTTTTGCGTTAGGACCGGAAGTTTTCTGGTAAACAATCTTCACAACCTTTGTGGAATTGAAATTTTTGAAATGTGTTTTCCCCCTTTCCCCGATTTAGTGGGTTGTAAGTAGTATAGTTGGGGTCTAGTTATTACGATTTATGAATAATCTCATGACGTATGAATACGAAGTCTCACTGCTTCCGCTGCATCTCGTTCTCAACTGGAAATTTGAAGGCTCGTCTTCATTTAAAAGTCTCACTGCTTCCGCTGCATCTCGTTCTTAACTGTAAATTTGTAGGCTTGTCTTCATTTGAACAATTGTCGTTTATGTTCACAAACTATCGCACCGTGCCTGCTGGCTCGACAGTAGTTTTGAGAAAGAGGGCGTCATCTGCTTCGACATTTTACTGGTTCCGCTTCAGTCACCTTTAACGATGATTTCCAATTTGACCCCAATACACCTCAAGATATTTCAGCATCAGTATAACTGTTCTCGGGGACAAATTTCGCCTGAACTTTGACCGTTTACTTTGCCTAAAGTCTGGTCATATTACGTCGAATGTAACCCTGCTCGTTGTTTTCAGTAATCAATCCGTCGTGTCGCTTCTTGGTTTTGCAGTACATGCCGCTAATATCGCCGAGGGCAAATGGGGCGACAGACAGCTGAATAACAGTCGAGTTCACCTCATTACAGGCTGTCGCGGAACCCTGTTAATCAGACCGCTACGTGTGCACCGTAGCGCTTCGTTTGAAGTTCCACTGAATCAACATTTTAGTAGGAGTACTGCCGACTGAAAACTACGCAACTCTTGTACAGGGTAACCAGTGAAAGTGATGCATTGTACTCACATGACAGATAGAAGTGCATGGCCGAACATCAGCTTTGAGGTTATATCAGACTTTTGTATCGATCTAAGAAACACTGAAGCCACACATCTTTCTGGTAGATACCTGTTACCACTTTGATCCTGACCTTGGTAGTCGCGTGGATCGATGGCACTGTTTGTTTCAGTGAGTGGCTGCAACTGGCTATTCGTTATAACAGTGAAAGCAACGAAGTCTGAGTGTTCTCCTGTTTATAAGTAGTAGTAAGTAAGTAGTAAGAAATAGCCGAAGTTTGTTAGCATTCTGACTACTAGTGTATAGTCAATACTGTTCCCGAGCCTTCATAGTCAGAAATTTCTTATCCCGGAATAGCGATCCATCACTAAACATCGAGTCCTGCAAGACCCAACGGATGTATCTGCATTAGAACGAAACGCAGAGCGGTTTGCTTTTTCAGAACAGATCATCGGTTGCTTACTAACTAACTACTAACTATACTCGAATCGATTCTTACTTCACAGATAGCCTCCTCTACGGTTACGGATTGATGGATGCCGGAAAAATGGTGCGACTTGGAGAGCTCTGGCGCGGTCTCCCACCACATCACCAATGTACCTCCAGGGTGATGAACTATAAAGCGTACGTTTGAATCCTTACTTTACTTTACTTACTTTACTTTACAAAAAGACACTACCACATGGATTTTATAGATTCCTTTTCAATTCAGCGTCAAGCTCACAGATGGGCTTACTTTACTTTACTTACTTTACTTTACAAAAAGACACTACCACGATGGATTTTACGGATAGTTTTTCTCTAAAAGTACGACTATCGTTTTCCTGTGGAAGCCGCATCCTGTTCCATGTTGCTTCTCACCACCGTCATCCTTGAGATGCCCCCGTGACATCCCAGTCGTTCACTGAAATTCCTGTCAGATTTGTGATTTCACTTTCACAAACCGTCATGTTGAAAGTCTGTGAAATGCTATCGAAATACACTCATTTGCAAAAAGATTGGTTTTGCAAGAGATCTACCCGGAACCTAACTGAATTTCTCGTTTGTGATGTTTCTAAGCTTAGGAACATCACAAAAGAGGGATTCAGCTGAGTTCCAAGGGAGTCTCTGGCAAAACCAAATTTGTTTGCAAATGAGTGTATTTCGCCAATTTTGTGCAACGTAAGGTTGACGGAAACTCGGGGACTGCGCCTACTTGATGAGCCTCAAAAAGGACGAAACCGGTCGGGGAGTGTCGACGACTTTTCAGCAACCTCATGAGTAGTGTATTACGTCTGTGGAATGCTGTTTAAAAGGCTAACTAAAACTGAGTGCAAACTTGGACGTGCCTTAGTCTATGTGACATTCTATTTTGTTTGCTGAAAAGTAGCGTGTGGGTAGCTCAGAGGGAGAATAAGTTACGAGGCAAGTGAAACTTCCATCTGAAAAGTTGTCACTCGAGGAGCCAGCCAACACATGATGTGGATTCTGTGGCTAAAGATTGAGTAGTCTAGATGTGAAGAATCGTTAAACTGTAGCACCATTTCGGTGCCTAACTGCCATGCCACCCTAAGGTTGCACGAGGGCTGGGATACTGCTAGGTTGCCCAAGCTTAGACAGGGGAATTCGAAAGGCAGAGGTCGGGTTCGAACCACGAATCTTCCAGTCAGTAAATTCGCCCTCTAGATGTGAGTTCGTTACACTACTGATCAGATGCTCCTGGCCAAAGGTGTTCACTCCGTTACGTCGGAGGTTGTCGTTTCGAAACTCCCTGGAGTTTTGTGAGGTGCGCACTGCTGATGACTCCTAACAGGAATGAAACAGCTGTACAGTGCTTCTCGGTTTTTCAGCATAGATGAGCTTCACTTACAAAACGGATTCTCAACTGAACGATTCTCAGACCTCCTCACAGAAACTACCATGAGGTTTTTTGTGTCCAAAACGGATTCTCAACTGAACGATTCTCAAACCTCCTCACAGAAACTAGCATGAGTTTTTTGTGTCTGTGTGCTGCAATCTATCTGTTTGTTTGTTTGTCTGTCAACCGAGCATGCTGAGGAGCAGATTGCTAACCGCCGTGTTGCAGGCGTATTTACCGCATTGTTAAGACCACAAGTCACGATTGCTTTCTCCCTTTTTCCCAGCGTCGCATCTGTACCATTCTTGGCCGTCCAGATCGCGTGGTTTCTAAGTTGACGTGGCTTTCCGTTCATTTTCGTAATCACAATTGTTATGGACAGCACATTATCTGAAGCAGAACTGCAAATTGCTTGAAAGCTTATTGTGAAGAAACGAAGGGGAAGGTTCTAAGTGTTACCCCCTGCCACAATAATCCCGAGGTGAATAGAATCTGACAACAGGAACTCCATTAATATCGGCTGGTAGCTATATCTTGTAGCGTCTTCAACCATGCGCGAGAGGGATCACGCAAACCCCGTGCTGAAAGGCTAGTTGCACCGACAGTACCCAGACTTAATGTCTCTCGTCCCCCTCAGTCGAGTCAAATGTTGACCTGACCACCTCTTCTTTCGCCACTGTGAACTGGGTACGGGCTTACAGTATGTTGAATCTCCATCCTATTCAACTGGGGGACCATCCTTATCTTGAAAGCCGAACACTTTGTAGCATTTGCCAGACACGTTGAGCCTTCACAAATGCAATTTGAGGGTTCTTCACATAGTTGGGGTACCTATCTCTTTACTGTCGCTATCCTTGACAAATTTCGTTTCGCGTTGCGATGCAGATGCTAGTAAAAAATCTTTGTCATAGAGTTGGGTGAGGAAACTGCTCTTTTTGTGATTTTTTGTCTCCTGGTATTGGTTACTGCTGTGGATGATGGTGATGATGCTATTGGCCGTGTAGTTACAAACGTCTCCTTCCTCCACCCATCACTGACAAAAAACGATTCAAGTGCTCTCTCCTTCCACCTACTTGAGTAATCTTATTGCTCATATCAATAGTACATCTCATCAGATAGTGCTAACCACTATTGGAGTGAGTGACCGCGGACCATCAGTTGCTCAGTATAGTGCAGGATCAGTGTAGTTACCCTGACAGTGTTTCGCACCGTACAGCACGTAATGTGGTATTTTAAAAATTTCGTGCACACCAAATGTAAATTAATCATGACAAATGGTTGGTCTTAATTGCGTTCTACACACTGTGTTGCATAATCACTCAAATACAAACCCTCTTTCCAGTGTTTACATGACTTAAGCGATCCACACGCGAACCACCCTCCTTCGGGAATCCAGCTACTGACTTGCATACACCCATCACTGAACCTACACTAATCTCAGCTTGACTTCAGCCACGTGTTCTTAACTTCGCATGCGAAAGGTGTTATTGGGTAACCTAGTCACTGGTCAGTTTTCCCTCGGTAAAATTTGGTTTGTTGAAGGGTTCTAAATACGTTTTGTCTCAGTCCACAGGTTGAAATAGGTTATTCAACGTGACTAAATTCCACTGCCCAGACGATTCTGTTACTAGTCATCCAGACCTTGCATCCATATGCGATGCATGGTGTTTACGGGTCGACTGATTACTTTTGCGATGAACTAGATGGTACGCTTTATTTGGTACGTCTCTCTGAAGATAAAGTAGGCCATCACGTTAGAAACCGATCTCCAGGAACGATGAGGCGCTTGAAAGCAGTCATACTGATGCTAGTAAAATAGCCCGACGGTCTGTCCCCTTTGGGCCGGGTCCTGCGGCTTAGTTGTTTCCGGATCAGCTTTTCGATGCTGGGCTGCCAGCGCCACCTGTACAGCTATTCATAACCGAAAAATCACATATTTAGTACTCTGAGAGCTGCGTTGTGCGTCCACGAAGCACTGCTTGTCCAAGTGACAATGGTACTGGTCGGTCATATGGTTTCACAGATAGACTTCAAGCCATTGCCGGGGAACCTAGTGAAGGTCAAAGGATATCTACTTCCTGATTCGAAACAACCCCGGTTTGTGAAGGCATTTCTAGCTTTCTCTGCCGCGGTGCATAACTCGCCCTATCGAATGAGCAGTTAGCCCCACGAAGCCCAGGACGTCAACAGTTGGACACTGAAACAACAAACCGTAAAGTTAACATTTCACAGACGCATTTATCATCGTCGTAGTTGATCATTCTGTTACGTAACAGCAAGTTATCTAGCCTCGTGGAATATCATGCTCTGGGCGCTCTGGCATGATGAGTAAGACTCCACAATCCGACCCGTTCCAATTACGGAAAATGATATGATGGGTTGTCTGTCAAGACTAAACGTTTAGGACGAAAAACTGTCCGGTACAGATAGCCTCTTTGTTGAATACGACCTTGACAGATTGGACTGACCACTTGTTGTGAAGGATTGTGGACGCCTTAGTAGTTGGGGGCGAGACGGCCCAAGTGGTTAGAGCGCGAATTTACTGACCGGAGGGTCCGTGGTTCAAACCCGACCCCTTCCTCTCGACTTCCCCTGTCTAGGCTTGGGCAACCTGGCAGTATCCCAGCCCTCGTGCAACCTTCTGGTGGCACGGCAGCTAGACACCGAAAGGGTGCTACAGCTGAACGATTTTTTGGTGGGGATTCAGGAAGAATGTGGCTGGCAGGATTATTCGGTCACTCCCTACAGGCACTGCAGTCAGCAAGAGAAGGACCACTGGAACTTTGGACGGGACTGGAACTAAATGAGTTGGGTATCTGGCTGTCGTGTTCCTTCTAAATCATCGTGGAAGCTTCTACGTGATGGAAGATCGTCGAACAAGCCATATGAATAAAACCCAGTGGCACTAAGCCACCAAAAAAAGCACTGAGCGAAGGAAACTCAGCAATCATTGGAGTTGTAGAACAGTGAACATCTGTGATGTGTATGCCGTCTTCGGTAGAGAAGGGTGTGTTGGCGTGTGCTACTGGTGCGGCTGTGAGTATCGCTGTCGCAGTTAACCGTCGTTGCACGTAAATTCATTAGTTTATACGATTGTGCCAGGCACCCAATCAACCGCCAGCAGTAGGTTTGGCCACACCGAATTTCGAAATGCCTATGCAAATGTCGGCTTCGCTCTCTCTCTCACCTCCAGTCCGTTCGGTTTGACGATAAGTTTCCCTGTCTTCGGTCGGTCTGTTGCATCTGTAGTGTTGTGACAATCACTCGCACTCGGAGGAGAAGAGGACTTGGTGGTCGTTGGTTTGTTCGCTGATTTGGACAGTTTGATTTTAGATGTTTCATCATCAGCTCAGCGAACAGACCAACGACCATCTACGCTAAATGAACTACCAACATTCTCCCCAATAACAAGGGAACTTGGTCCTTAATGTCAATTGTCACACGCACCATTTCATCCCGTCTGTATTAATTCACTAGGATTTGTGCACTCCGTTCATCCATCCAGGAGACTAGATGGAATCTTCAACCTCACGTTCCCTTTGGTATTCTACGGCTGTGATTCTGTGCCTCGAAGCGAGAATGAGACCTATTCGAACTACACGGAGAAGAGCTCAGAGGAAGGAAGTCCGGTCGTCTATTTGGAGCATGTACAGCTCTATGCAGATATTGTCTACCAACGACGTGGACTTCTTCAAATTACACTCATTTCACCTTCAGGTAGGTTTGCGCATAGGACCGTTCTGGCACCGGTCTTGTTCTCACCTCGTTCTTCTGTTCACGCTTGAAACCGTCCTGGTGATGCACTGGTGTACTAGGTTGGTTTTGCTTTTGGTGATGATGCTGCCTTCTTTTAGTCCCCCCCGTACTGAACCAACTTCAGATGGTCATCATTTTCTGGCCTTCACTGATATTACTTGAAAGACAATTCAGTTCTTTCTAATTTGCAGGTCTTTTAACAGTCGCAGTTGGATTGACACTTTGCCTTCAGTTTTCTCTTGTCCCTGACTATTTTCGGGACTCGTAACTGGAAGATTTTGTAATTCTCCTTTCTGGTGCGAAGCACTTACTTAAGGTGCCAGTGTAACGGTGATACTACTGATGGGGAGGCACGCGAGTAGTATGTGTTGTTCGTAGAATTTCACTTTGCTTCTTTTGAAAAGGGGGATCTGTTGCGGAATTCGTGGAGTCACTTTGTAACATTTGCTTGGATTTGACCGAGAAATGATTGGAGTCAATGGATCTCCAGGAAAGTTCAAAAAGACGCGTTCAGGAGGAGATGGGTGTCCAGTTTTTGTAAATAAGATGCAGATTAGTGTTTTGCTTCCCTGTTCAATGGTCTGTAACCGGTCAGTTGGCATTTCCTAATGAATGACTCCGCAGCGAGGGCCTTCTTCCTTTTACCAGTATGGATAACCACATCTTTGCTAGTCCGAACTGACTGGTAACACTGTGTGCACCTGCTTATGTTTGCATTTTTACCAACTTTGGAGGATTCGTCAACGTAGTTCTAACTCTTTCTGTTCCAACCAGGCCCCAGTAGCAATAAAATGCTTTCAACTATGCTACTGATGTCCGGTTGTCGCATCCATGTGACGTTGACCAAAACCACGTGCCAGTTGATGTGACACGACTTCCTTGGATCACGTGGCCTCTCTTGACAAGTGGGCCATATTTGAACTAAAGACAGTTGATTGTGTATATCTCCAGGCCACGTGATGTAAACTGGTTGTAGGATGTCAACTCCATCGAGTGGCAATGGGTCTTGGTTGTAAACGCCTGTCACGTGACATATTTTTATCGATTGACAGCGTGTCGATTTCTAGACCGAGTAGTGCCGAATTAGTCGTTCCGTAAAGTACATTTGGAAAATTCAACTCTTACACAATTTCGAACGGGTTCTGGAGGAAAAATAAAGGTTGGAGAATGCCTGTGTCCAGATAACGCGGACCAAGAGTTGGGGTCAAAATACGAAGTCTTACCAGGACTTCGAGCCTTCTTGAGGTCTAGAGTCTGTCATAGGCAGGCATTTAATCCGGCGGGTCTAGGTTCGTTCCATTTGACCCGGTTCTCCTACTGAACCTAATTGTCTTGGGAACCAATTTCGTTTTTGTGTTCATCAGCGAGAACAACTTTGTTTCGAGGTGTGCTCCATCGTCAAATATGATCAAATGACACCAACCGAATTGCAGATTTCTTAGCAATGTGTGGCATATCAGTGAGTTGAGTATGGACATACGTGAGAAACACGCAACGTGTTTCCTCCTCTCCCCTCATTGATTATTCAACCAGTGTGCTAATAACAACCCCATCCGTTATTTGTGTACCCTGAGCAAGATTAACGATCACATGTTCATCGATTTCACGCTATCCCTCCATGCCTGCCTACCTGCTCTTATCAGTGACTTCGCCCGTAATTATACCATATTCCGTCGTCAGATAGTTCACTCAACCGTATCAATGACTTGGGCGTCTGTGTCCATCTATGTTTTTGGCGATATGCCTGTACCCACAAGCTTATATTGTGCATGGGATGGTAAACTGGTATGCTTTTCAAGACCAAACAGTAGCCTTTCTATTGGATGCCGGGAGGAACGTAAAAACCACATGTTCCGTTATTCAACCCTGGATTACATCCTCATGTCGAAAAATGCTACGACCCTGTTGAATGCTATTAGTCATGGTACTGCTTTACCGATCGGGGTGCGTTACACCCGGCGGCTGCGGAGATGAGTAGCTTGTTCCGTCGATCGACGTTCTGACTCTCCCGAAAGATGCACCCGTTGGAATCCGATATCCGTCTTGATCATACCCTATTACAAGCGTGAAGGAGCTCCGATCCAAATGAAATGTATACACAAACAAACCATGACTTGTCTGGAGTTCGCCAAGGTTCGGCCAACAGTCGGATGCCATAAAAGATGGGCGAAATCACATAGCCAGAAATCGTCATCTTCACCCGTTGACTTCTTTCATCCGCAAACCTGGGGCATGCCAACAGCCGCTGCGCAACCACCTCAAAAAGGTCTGGATGGCGCAGAATCAAACTTCCAGTTGCTTTTATTCCCGGGTATGCATCAGGGGATAGGACCACCTGCTCATTAGAGGTCTCGCTTGTCTAGCGCCGTAAAGCTCGACGGCAGAGGACTGTGTGTCTGTGTGTGCGTGCATCCATATACACCATCCTCATCATCATCGACAGCACAACATCGGTATTAAACACCGCTGCTTCGCTGCCGTACAACCATGATTTATTTGAAAACCTTTTTGTGGAGCAAAGAGTGAAAGTGGACGGGAAAAGGACTTAGTGCTGGCTTATTACAATCCCTTCGAGGTACCTATATGACCAGACACGCACTCAGGCAGTCTGGATAGAAACTGACAACAAGAACGCAAGTAACATTGAATAGTAGCCATATCTTGTAGCATCTCCAACCAGGCGCAGTGGGGAATACGCGGTCCCCATCCTGGAAGGCAAGTAGCACCGACAGCACCCAAACGTTTCATAATCTTTTTCATACCCTATGCTGGGTCAAAGTTTGGTCGCCTGTGCTTCAGTAACTGAATTAGGCACGGAACACAGCACTCTCTTCGGCAAACGATGGTTCGGCATACGCATTAAATGGCCAAACCAATGCAGCTCTTGATGCTAAACACATTCTTCACTGGAAGTCCCGTTGCACAACCAGACACTCGCTTTCAATCACCTCGTTACGTATTCGCCGACACCAACAATGGGTGTCGAGGACCTGAAGACGTCTCAGTTCCGTTGCTAGATTTGGCCAAGCCTCACAGCCATACAACCACACCATTGTCATGGACACGCCCAATGGATCGTGAACTTTTTCCTTGTTCCTAAACTCAACATATTCTGTGTAGTTGGATCTAAGACTGATCTTCTTACAATTTACCTAGCAAGGTACCAAAGATGGCAAATACAATTTCAAAACTTCTTTAATCTTCAGCCAGAAATTCTGACAATTACTCAAGACGCTTTGTAGCACACCTTGACCGGCCATCAAAGCACATTCACAAACGATCGCCCTTGGTGAATCAACCTATCCTCTAACGTATCTAACTGGAAATCATCATTGCCTCTTTAGGTTCTTCGCAATCATTCTTGTTTTCCACCTTTTCCCGTTTATAATGGTTCAACCTTTCGGTGCCTAGCTGCCATGCCACCCGAAGGAAGCAGGCGGATAGACTTGCCTCTTTAGGTTCTTCGCAGTCATTCTTGTTTTCCACCTTTTCCCGTTTATAATGGTTCAACCTTTCGGTGCCTAGCTGCCATGCCACCCGAAGGAAGCACGAGGGCGGATAGACTGCTCAAGCCTAGACAGGAGCAGTCAGAATACCGAGGCTAGGTTCGAACCTCAAACCTTTCAGTTTGTAAGTGTGCACCTTAACCACTGAGCTATGTCGAGCTCCTCCGGCGACAACAACACGCATGTTTGTCAATAAAACTGGTAAAAAAAAACAATTTCCAGAGTAGGACAAATGTTTCGTTCTTCATCTGTTCATCACGTGTTAGTTTTCATAGTACCTCCGTATTAGCAGAAGTGATGTCAGCCGTATGTTACTGTAACTTCAGTTGTAGCATCACAGTCTGTGTTCATGTAGACAAACACATTGGACAGGAGAAGGTCCAAATCACGAACCTCTTCAGCCTCGCACTTCTGGCGACCGTCTTAGGCCGGTTTCGTGTGTAATGTCCTTTCCCGTAACAACCTCTGCTGGAGCTGGTATCAGAATAAGTAACACGCACAGACACGCTGTCGCTACTCCCAGTCCTACGTAAGGGGACAAACTGTCATGTCGAGTGTACGTGGGCTAAAGCACCGTTCATCTGTGTTCCATGACCAGTTGGCTCGAACTTGCTTGGTTGGGCGAATCGAAATCTCAGCTTACACCGTTTTTTGTTCGTGAGTAGACCCGACATGAAGTAATTATTCGAGTGCTTTGGGAAGTGACACGAGCTACATGACAACGTTTTCCCAGTAATTACTATCTACTGTTGCGCACACCTGGTCCACCAAGATGGCACATTCACCGTGGAGTTTTATTTCCCAACAAATCACACATTTCTTGGAACCTGAAAGTGAGAAAACAAGTTGATAGAAAAAATTTGCACATCCCACATCGTTGAGAGACACCATAACCTCTCATGGCGCTTCTTATGGCACTGTGCTTCGGCCCGTTGGCATGAGGAAAAGAGAAAACTGGCCATCTTGGATCCGATGCTACTAGGCCGCCAGGCCTTACGCCTGATCACGGGTTCAACGTTAAATGCATTAACCGCTTAGAAAACACGTGACCTCACGTCTAATTATCCAGTGTGGATATCATAGCAGCTGATCGATGGGCGCAGATAGCGTGAACAATCAACAACGTGGCCGAACAAACGAACGGCTACCCGTCACTGCAGCGCTCGTGGAATTCGTGTGATTATTTCGCTTTTGGATGAATTTCCTCGGTTTTCCGACCGCAACTCGCGATTCCCTCGTTGTGTGTGGTGGGTGAATATTTGCTGTTGCGGAAAGCCGATTATGTCGGATGATTCTAGTAAGGATGAAATAAGTCTTCAATTCGAGAAGTACACTCATTTGCAAATCAATCTGGTTGTCACGAGAGGCGCAATTGAAACTCTCGTTTATGATATTCTGCAACTGAATGTGATGCACACAGCCCGCTTCATGTTTCAGTTGGCACGATATTCGATATATCGCAGTATATTTTGACACTCATTACCGAATAAACTGGAGTTTTCATAAAGGAAACTACTCACAAGGTTGCTGAAAACTCTTCGACAGCCCGCGACCGGTCGACCTTGAGGTTACCCACTACTGCGTTTCCTGATGTATAACACTGCCTTCAACCAGAACCTACTGTGTGTCGTCTGAAAAATTGGACCATTTTATCGTATTTCAGGACATAGCTCGTTGTGACTAACCGAGTTGTTGATCGATTAATCTGTCCTGACCTGCTGAGTCCCTCTCTCCTGTGTTCAGGTACCAAGACGGTTCTTCTTCCTCCTCGTAGACACGACGAACATTCTGGTAACATCGGACTGCTTACCTGGCCTCTGACCACCGTCCAACTATGGGGCGAGTCGGCCAAAGGCACCTGGTACATACGCGTCGACAATTTGGCGGCCAGCAAACCAATGCTAGGTATGGGATCGGTGAATATGGACTCAGTCAATGGTTACTGGCGTAGCGCTTGGATCATTGCCTATGGCACTGATAAGTATCCCATCCGTCTGCGTCCGCCAAATCCCGAGCGACCCCCACCTCCGGTGAGTACATTCCTTGTATATATTCGATTGAATATTCGATAGTCAGTACTCTGCATCTCTCGAGTTCTCCTGTTTATTGGTCTGGTGTTTGACACCAAGGGTAAAACTTCCTAACGTCCTAAGAACTTGATTACCTTACTGAAGGTCTTTGGTTCACATACATCATACAGATCATAAAAATGGATAACTACCTTCGGTTGTCTTACCGTTACGACCTCTGTGTATGCTGAATGGGTTTCAGTTAAGTGGTTTGAATGCCCGTCATTCAGTCCTCCATCAAGGCTTCTCGTTCGTTCAGCTATACAGAGGCGAGATAGCTCAGTGGTTAGAGCACAAGTTTACTGACCGGAAGGTTCTACGGACCTTCCGACTTCCCCTATCTAGGCTTGGGCAACTTGGCATTATCCCAGCCCTCGGCAAAGGGGCCTAGGGCTAACCCAACACAAACATCTTAGGGGACTACACTACCCACACGCAGTCAAACAAGCTGCATAGTGGGTGGCATGAGCACCACTGACGTCGGTAAGCCGCCTTATCTTTCACTATGAGCCATCCGATTACGTTTGTGATCACACTAAACGCTGTCGACGCATGTGTGGAGTTTTGTACCACCTTACAACACTGCATACCACCCACGGAATTCCATTTTTTGGACTCATTACGAACTGTTAACGTGCCGCTTAAATTTTACAGGCGAGAGCTATGCTATCTGGAACATTCTCTCAATTAGTTTCTAGAATTTTCCGTGTAATTTAAATTTCCCTCCATACCTGATGTTCTCCTTTCCTCCGCCTTCACTCCTTTCCCCGCTTTGCGCGCGCACACACACACAAACTACTGCGTTGCGTGTAAAACAGGAATGGTTCGCTCCTTTCGCCAAATACGTGGTTGATGATTCACTCTGGAAGGAGGTATACACAGTGAGTTCTCACCTTGGTGGAGTCGTGCGTTGTCGGTCATTCGCTTTACTTTTTAAGTCCATAGCCCCACTGGTATGGATTAACTTGCACTGTTCCAAAATTCCGTGCGTCCTCGTGCTGAACCAGAAAATGATCGTCCTACAATGGTTATATGCACGAAGAAGACGACCGTGAAAGCACATTCATCTTTTTCAGTAACATTTATAAACTCCACTTGCTTTTCTTTAATCCTGGCTTGTTCAGATCTGTGCGACTCACAAGTAGTACGTACCCCTTCAGAGAGCTATCGTAGGTAAACAATCGCGATGGAGTTATTACTGGGCAACATTTTGTTTTTTTTAGTGCAAAAGTGTCGTCATGCCCAGGTTGCCTAACAATGAATCCGCTGATTGTTTAAAAAACTTCTCTGAAACGATGCACTGTGTGGTGTAAACATTTTCCAATTGATCGTAGCTTCATATGTTGTCAGCGGCAGATTGACCTAAAGACCTTTATCTGCTGTCCAGCGATGTACTTTCAACAACTGGCTTTCACCTGGTCGGCACATGACAGCCTCTTAGATTTACAGTTGTCAAAATACAGTATCAGGTTTGAAGCCAGGGAGTACGGTCAGCTTAGTGCAGCCTGGAGAGAGAGAGATGGTGTTCGATTTCCTCGTCATATGACTTGAATTCACATGTTCGCAGGCTTCATGACCCTCCTCAGTTGCATTACGCTTGGCGACATCATACTAAGAGTAAATGCTGCACACACACAGTGGCCTGCAAACACAGCAGTGTTGTTTATGCCACCGCGTGTATGGGAATTTCCGGGTCGGATACCTGGGGGCCAAATTCAAGCAGGTTCCGGAATGCACTCGTTGTGTACTTCTCGTTTGAAGTGATGTCTATCTTGTGTTTTCTGCTGCCAAAAGGTCTAACGTGAGCACTTTCTGGATCAACAAGGCGTTTTGCTTACCCGAGCCAGCGTACAGTTAATAGATTGTTGTCTTTCATTGGGTCTAATGTTCGCCGATCAAGAAACCACGGATCCAGGTTTCCGGGTCTTTTGCTTTGCGTCGCACATCATCTGACCAGCGGGCTGTGTGTGTGCATGTCCACCCGAGTACTAAGGTTAACTCACAGGCCGAAGTCGTAGCACTGACTTTTTTCTTCAGTAAACGACTGCAATATGAGTGAGTGGAATGTGATGGTCCTTCACTGTGAGGCGGATTCTTTGTGGTCCAAGGTCAGCGCCCGTCAAGGTTCATGTCGTCGGAAACGTGGTCTACAGCGGAAGGGAATCCCTAACCCTAATAGCCATTCACAAACACCAGAATGGAACGACCATCTCGAACAAAGCAGAACGCCTCGACCGATGGGCTGAATACTTCGAACAACAACTGTCGTGGCCTCCAGCCGGCACTTATCTAGAGCCCACAGGTGAAGTAGAACCCTGGACAGTGATCGTGGAACCACCTACGGCCTCGGAGGTTTACGACTGCATATGTTCCCTCAAGCGCCACCGAGCTCCCGGTCCGGATGACCTTCCACCCGCACTGTTCAAAGACGGGGGTGAAGTCCTCAGTCAGCGCTTGTCCGATCAGTTTGCTTGCATTTGGGAAAAGGAGTCTGTCCCAGACAACTGGGGAAAATCGGTGATAGTGCCCATTTTCAAAAAGGGGCGCGTAGTGAGTGTGGTAACCACAGGGGTATCAGCCTGACCCCGGTTGTGACGAGACTGTTGGCGTCAATTGTGCTTCGTCGCCTTACTGTGGCTCGTGAGATACTGACTCGAGAGCAGCAAGCGGGATTCCGGCCTGGTAGGGGTTGTGTTGACCAAATCTTCACACTGTGTCAGGTGCTAGAACAATGCCATACGTATAAGCGACCCACGATTCTAGTATTCCTGGATTTTCGAGGCGCATTCGACTCGGTTGACCGGTCTGTTCTTCTTGAGACGCTTGCCCAGCAAGGAATGCCCCGGAAGTTTGTAAACATAATACGTTCTTTGTATTCTCAGACTTCCTGACGTGTGAGAGTATACGGCGAGCTCTCCAAATGCTTCTGTACAAAACGTGGTGTTCGCCAGGGTTGCTTACTATCTCCATTCCTCTATGATCGATGTAATCATGGGACTAATGCTGGAAGGTCTCCAGAACCCCAGTGTTCAAATAGCTTGTGACGAAAACCGTGTCGAACTGGAATATCCAAACAGAGGATGCTTGCCTGAGAACATTAGGACGACAATGGAACCCCTGAAAGAAGGCACAGCGATAACAAGATTATTCTCGGAAACGAACAACGAAGTCTGTATGAGAGCCACCTGTACCAATGAATAGGCAAAACGTGTATCCAGTTGACAATCCTCTGACCGGTGTCCAAGCTTGTGAGTTGTTCGATAGAGGTCAATAAATGGTACACTTTATAGAAATGCGCATTTTTTCGCAGATCCCCGTGACTGGAATGCTATCGGGATCGATATCTAAGAATACTGCCTAATAGGAATACCTCATCCTCATACATAATGTAACTTTACGCGCGGATATTGTGATATCTTGGTAGATTGCCGGCCCTGGCTGTACTCGAAGGCATTCGACACCCGCAGCAGTTATTCCTGGTTTACGTGGACCCAAATGTGGCGCAAGGATTTCAGAGGTAGCGTGAGTCCAAGGAAATCAGATCGGTCGTCACGAAGAGACTGAACCTTATCGTGACGGTTCGCCCACTGAGCTAGAGGGTGTCCCCGCAACACTCTAGAGTCTTTCATACCACGTTGGTCAATGGTTGGAGGTATGACAAACACTGTCTCCTGGTTGGTAATTTGTTGAAATATTGGTAGCCTGAGTGAATGTCTGGAGGTGTAGGCACCTCGGAATGATTGTGTTAAGCTAGCACTAAGTCCCTCCCCCATCCACCTTTATTCTTTTCTTCACAATAAGGCTTTCAAATAAATGATGGTTGTACGGCAGTGAAGCATCGGTGTTGAACACTGATGTCATGCTGTCAACGATAATAAGGACGATGAACCCTAATAGCCATTCACAAATCGACCGATTTGGCCTCATGTTATGTCCAGTAGCGCTTTTTCATCTCCGTTTGAGTTCGCGGTTGAACACTGATGTCATGCTGTCAACGATAATGATGACGATGAACCCTAATAGCCATTCACAAATCGACCGATTTGGCCTCATGTTATGTCCAGTAGCGCTTTTTCATCTCCGTTTTGAGTTCGCGGACTTGTGCGCAGATCAGCATTCTGGTACCCATGCCTGACATTCAAGACGTCTCGGTAGTTAGAGCGCGAATTTACTGACCTGAATGTCCGTGGTTCGAACGCAACCTGTGCCTCTCGGCTTCTCCCGTATAGGCTTGTGCAACCTGGAAGTATCCCAGCTCTCGTGCTTCCTTCTGGTGGCATGGCAGTTGGGCACCGCAAGGTTGCCACAGCTGTACCCATGGCTGATGAATAACCTCTTGTATACAAATTCGGTTTCAAAAGTAGACTCAACCGAATCCAGCTGAATTTCCCGTTTGTGGCGATCCGCTCCAACTAGATATGCTTCACCAGACCGCTTCATGTTTCACTTGATACGATATTCGAGATATCGCAATACGTAGCTGTTTATACGCGACACACTACTCCCAAAGTTGCTGAAAACCCTTCGTCAGCCGATCTTGGGGCTCATCAGGTAGGCACAGTTCCAGAGCTTCTGTCAACAATATCCTATTACGATATCTTGAATACCGTACCAAGTAAGACATGAGGTGGCCTGGTGCAGCACGTTTAGTTGAAACGGACCGTCAGTTCAGTCTCTTGTGATTAATTTACATCATTGCCCATGGTTCCATAGATTAGAAGTGATTTTACCTTCAGTTATTGAAGCCGGAAATGCGCAGTTTGGTTTACTTTTCCTCCAATGCTAGACAGAATTTATCCATCACCATCGACTCATTGCCTGCCTCTCAGTGTGGGAGCCATATGCAATTCAAGATAGTGTAGCCCAGCCATGGCTCCTTTTCTCATAGATTTCCATCGATTCCATTTCATCTGCCGAACTCTTGTTGACTGGATGTATGCAAAACAGTTGTCACATTATCCTTCATGTGATGGAGCAAATCTTCGCCTAGTTTGGATCAGGAGTTCCGGGCCCTAATTTGGCTCGGATAGTATTGAAAAGATTGAGCGCCATGTGATGTATGGTATGGAAATCTTAAATTCAAAACAGCGTAGTGGAACAGGATATATTAGAACCCGACATCTCGGTTGCCACCCACAGTCATTCGAATGCAAGTCATTCAGGTGCGTTCTCTTCTATTCTGATTGGTTTTGACAGATAACCGTTGGCAAATTGATGCGACCAGCGCGTGTGGGTTTGTGTTAGCTCTGTGGGCGTGATTGTGTGTATACTTTGATTAGGATGTGCCTATGTTTGTTTTTGGCATTTGGCTACTGTGCCTACTAACTTTTACAAGCCAGTCCAAGCTGGCGCTATCACTACGGTTTATGCAGTTCGGTTGTGTTGATTCTTTGAGCTTGAGCCTACGCCCGTTCCATGTGTGACTTGAGTCCTTGCTGGAGTATAAATAAATGGACTGTCGAAGTTGGTTTGATGACTTGACTCAAGTGCTTGAAGTTCAGTGGCTGAGTAGCACTCAGTTGTTTAAAAACTATTGGGTTTCATGGAGGAAAACGCGCATGTGGTTTGCGCTCTGTGATTCGCACAGTTACCTGGAACTTTTACAAGCCAGTCCAAGCTGGCGCTATCACTACGGTTTATGCAGTTCGGTTGTGTTGATTCTTTGAGCTTGAGCCTACGCCCGTTCCATGTGTGACTTGAGTCCTTGCTGGAGTATAAATAAATGGACTGTCGAAGTTGATTTGATGACTTGACACAAGTGCTTTGAGTGCAATGGCTGAGTTGCATTCAATTGTTTAAAACTCTGTCGGGTTTCATGGAGGAAAACGCGCATGTGGTTTGCGCTCTGTGATTCGCACATGCAGTTACCTGGCTGTCTGGCCTGACATTCTGCACACGGAATTCGGTGCGTTGTTCCGATTTGATGGGGTCCTTAGCCCTTACAATGTATCGTCGTAAGGTGTTGTCGATTGGGAACAATGCTTAGATATCATACTTCCGAGGTTTCTTTCGAACGGCATCTGAGGTGCCGCTTCTATAAAGTATTCCCACGGTGACTATCGGGTCTCCGTCTTACTGCCTCACCGTTCTGAGCAGCGTTCCCTCCATCTGTTGGGGCGAGATGGTGGTTAGAGCGCGAACTTACTGACCGGAAGGTCTGTGGTTCGAGCCCGTTATCTGTCTCTTAACTTCCCCTGTCTAGGCTTGGGCAACCTGGCAATATCCCCGCCTTCGTGCCTCCTTCGTGTGACATGGAAGTTAGGCACTGAAAGGGTGCTACAGCTGAACGATTTTTTTCTAAATGAACCTTATGAAATATTTATTTCGCTTTAATACCCTACTGTGTCGCTTCAGTTTGTCAGCTCATATGGAATCTTGCGCAGTTGTCGGATCGCTATCCAACAACTGCGCATTTGACGTAGTGGGGATGCCAAAAACTCAATGCAAGTACCCGTCTGAATGTGTGGGTTTTCTGTGAATTTCCACTAAGAATCCATGGTTCGCGGTAACAGATAGCTTACAGTCCAGGATACACAATCACGTACTCACGCCCACAGAGCTAACACCCACCCACACACGCTGGTCGCATCAGTCTGTTAACAGTTATCAGAAACACACCAACCGAAATACACGACAGCGCACCTAAATGACGCTGCATTCGACTCGTATTGTAGAAATCCTTGAAAAAGGTTGGCCAGAGCAAGCGAAACGTCTGATTATACCACCTTATCCCACTACTCTATATTGTGACTTTAGAATTTCCATGCTAATCTAACTGAGTTCTTGGAATCAATATTTAACAAACATCAATAAACGCACACACTGACAATCAGTATCCTGTGTTTGAGGCTACCCAACATGGAGGTTTGTGACTTCAAAGATATCCTCAAGTCTTACGAAGGTTTCAATCACAGACCCACTAGGAATACGCCAGTTTTCTCCAGGTCAGGCAGGTCATAGCGCTTTTTCTGGGCATGCATACTCGGTCCTGTCTCAATTCAGCTTTAGTAGTGTGTTGATTTCGTCTCAGTAGTATCCTCTGGCGCGTCGACGTTTGTCTATAGATAGGACAAGTGTATACGAAGGACACGGATTACATATGCACTCTTCTCTTTCAGTGTCATGTAGAGTGTGCTCCCGGCGGTTGTACTGGTCCAGGCGCTGATCAATGTCTCGGTGGATGCCGACACTATGCTACTCAGAGCAGGTGAGTAGATGGTTTCCCACTCGGTGGCTTGTTGATACTACTCTGTTCCCCTATCCCGAATTTTATCGTCCACAACGGTCAGAATCGTTCTTCTTTAAGAGACTCCAGCCTTACTTGCATCATTTTTCCAGACAGCTACGGTTGACACTGGTAAGCGTGACGGAACAAACCTAACGAGTAATCGCCCGTAGTAATCTATTGAAAATAGAACATCCTTGTAATATGGTCAGCGGAAACAGGTTGACAGCTAACAGGTTGACTGGAACACTTACGCCTATCCGTTTCCAATCAGGAAGTAAGTGGGTCCAATCTTTCGTGCGTTTGTTGCCTACTTCACGAAATGCGTTTCATTTGTTATAGGTCCTCTGTACTCTAGCTCCGTGGTTAAGGCGTGAACTTACTGGCCGGTAGGTCCGCGGTTCTAACCCAACCCCGGCATTTCGACTGCGCCTGTCCAAGTTTTGACAACCTGATGACATTTTCATAAAGGAAACTACTCAGAAGGTGCCGAAAACTTCTTCGACAGCGCACGACCGGTTTCGCCCTTCTTTGGGCTCATCAGGTAGGCGCAGTCCCCGAGTTCCCGTCAAACTTATGTTCTACTTGAACTCAAATTGGACCGTTTTCGAGAAATACACTCATTTGCAAATCAATTTGGTTTTCACGAGAGATTCAGTTGAGTGTCTCGTGAAAAACAAATTGATTTGCAACTGAGTGTATTTCTCGAAAACTTGTTGACATCTTAGCCCTCGTGCTTCCTACGGTCGGCGCGGCAGCTAGGTTTCGTAAAGGTGTTGCCGATGAACTACCTGCACAGTAATGTCACGCAAAACACAATAGCTAGTCCACGTTTTCGCGATTGAGATTGTTTTGGATCAGTTGTTGCTCATGTTGTTGAATTTCATTCGCTATTCGGTGGGGTGGTTTTCTAACCCATTTGTCTGATGTCATAGAAAGAACAGCTATGCGCATACGTTACTTGTAGCTCACGGTTTCCTTGAGTTGGTGAATCTACTGAATTATCACAGCACCGCAGAATACTGAATCGGTGACCCTCTCCGTCGTTTGCGGGAGGAGCCGAAGGTAGGAGAATGGGATACAACTAAAGCCACAGCTTCAATCTGCCTGGTGAATCGTCAAACATACATTGGATAATAACCTGAGCAGTATGGGTTTCGTTTCATTACTTGAGATAATCAGGAAATTGGGCGGAATGTCTCGGTTGAATGCCCAGTTGATTTCAACCGAGCTCATAGCAGGAGGGTACAGAGGGGAGAGTAATATTTCAGACTTTGGAACACTCTGAATCCAGCATCCTGGAAGACGTCAACCTATTCAGATGTTTGTCGGAAGTGGTGTGTGCCGCTTCAAAAACCAATCAAGGACAAACGCCTCATAAAGCACAGTCCATGAAATAGCTGTTATGTGCTGAAAACGTCTCCTTGAAATCATGTAACGAAACCTCATTCTGTTGTGTTCACGCGAATTCGTCGGAATGTAGACCATGTTATGTCGCCACTGTCGCTTACCGTCACTGTTTCGAATAGTGGAAAGGATGGTGGAACGTATTCACACTCAGATTGCGGATTTGGAGGATCAATATTGGTGTGCTTTTTGTTGTTGATGACGTGGTATTGGTACCGGAAATGCGGGAGGTTATTCGGTGCCGTTCACAACAAGAATGTGTTAGAGCTCACTAGAAGCGGTCGCCGCAAAGTAGTTTCACTACATTAACTTTCCTTACAGTCGGATGCTTGTTGGTGTGACAATCTGCTCGTATATTACGAGCTTTCCCCACTCGCAGCCAATTTACCGCTCTTGACGAATTGCACAATGGCAATTCGCGTCGCTCGTTATAATAATGGTAACGCCTCAGCTCAGGTCTCGGTCTGAACCTTCCAAGCCAGCGTTTTCGGCAAATGACTCGCCGAAGGTGAACAACGTATAGTAAACGCCCAAAACCAGGTCAAAAGGCACCTACGGCGCGTCGTATTCAAGGTATGTGAGGCGATAACATTTTGAAAATTCAAACGATTTCTGGACGCGCACTGACATCCAGCGGATGCTGAGTCATGATTGTCTGTTGGGTCCACACTTTCGACCAATCAGACCTCGCCTTGACGCTGGACCGGCAAGCAGCCCGTCTTCCGACCAATCGCGTGCGGGTTAGGTTTGTTGGCCAACTGGTCAATCGGTTAGCACCGCATTCATTAATGATCATCGACCGAAAGCCAAACACTCATGTCTTGACAGGGATTCAGTCCACCCACTGATAAATAGTGATGTTATCTCGATCAGCCTAAACTGCTCACAGGGCTGACACCAGAACTACTGGATGCTACCATCTCTCTGACTTGTAATTTAGGATAACACCTTATTCCAATTCGATGTGATTTGAATTTAAAAGTATCATAGAGCAGAATCAATCTAAAATGGTCGTATTTGTGTGAAACGCGCGCGAAGTTGCTGAATACACCACAACCCGCGTGTCACGGAATAGGTACATTGATGTTCACCTGGACCCTATCCTGAAAGGTCGGCCACTTCGAAAGCATCCAGATATTCCTGGTCCTTGTTATGGCTTTCCACCACATGGCCGAACCATTGTAGTTTATGGTACTCGGTGTAATTCAGGAGTAGATTGTTGACTACCCGTCACCTCACTGTGGTCTCACAACCTCAAAACTTCACGGCTTACACTTTTGCCTGGTGCTCGTGATTCAGATAGGCTCTGCTGAAACCACGTTGACTGTGGTCAAAAAGTAGCGATCCTATTCCACCTCGCTTGGCAACTGGAAAACTAGAGTTTCGTAACGCACAGACTAGTGGTTCCCTAATGTCAGTTGTTCGGGTGTGCTATTCTGTCAACTGACGTTCCCGCTGAACAGTACGCGAAATGTGGAGTTGTAGCCACAATTATCCCACTTTTTGTCCCGTGCTTTGTTTTTGATCTGTTGCTGAACAGCTCTTAAAGCTAGACATTCTGAAACGGGAGTGCTCACTCACTTTGGTCATCTTAGTATTCACAGTCCAATACTGATCTGCTAGTTCCACCATGTACGATCGATCCGCCCATCGGACTCTGTTTGCTCCTATTTCAGACAATGTGTGCCTGAATGTCCTCGTGGGACAACTCCTTACGGCGCTTTGCGGATCAGCGTCAACCATGCGGATTACAATGCCGAGAAGACACACCGCAACCGTGTCAGGCCGGGCCGGATACGCAGCAGCAACAGTTTTGTTGCCAACGTTGTCTGTCAACCGTGTTGGACATTGTGTGGAACCTGTGTTCGTCCGCACACCGAATACGATTGTATGTCCTGTTCGAACGGCCGGTACCTGTTACCGCTAATCACACCGGACGACGCGTCCGATGTGACAATGATGATCGTCTCAGAGGTGGACTCTGATGAAGCGAACAAGAAGTTGCCCTCGCTCGTCGGCACCTGTCGTACAGAGTGTCCGGTTGGATATTACGCGAACAAATCCTCATCTATTTGTAATCGGTATGTAACCGTTTGTGTGGGGATTCCAGATCGGTGTGAGAATAGTCCAAGCCGTCCATTTTTCTTTTCCCCATATCCACAGTGGATTGGGGAAACCATGGATTTCCTAGCATATCAGTGAGATGTTTCAAGTGGTTAGAGCGGGAATTTACTGACCGGAAGGTCCGTGGTTCGAACCCGACCTCTGCCTCTCGACTTCCCCTGTCTAGGCTTGGGCAACCTGGCAGAATCCTAGCCCTTGTGTCTCATTCCTCTGGCATGGCAGCTAGGCACCGCAAGGATGCTACAGCTAAACGATTTAGCGTATCAATACGTTCTCCAGAAAGTAGCAAAAAGTGTCCAAAATGGTGAAGCTTCGTTGCCAATTTGTCAACATCTCTGAGTTTGTCTTCTGTGTCCAAGGCTGAGGTGATTACCCTAGCCTCATCGGTAATGCTTGGCGCGTTGTTCAAAGTGCCGAATGAATCCCATGGGTGAACCAAGTTTAGGAATCGGCAACAAGCTTTTGTACAGTCCTAAAGGTAAACAGTTTGGTTCATGATCTGCCTCAAACCGGCAACTACGCTGGGGTCCCTGAGTTCGGTGTTACTAACACGTGTTTTCATTCACAGATGCATTTTACCACGTTCAAAGCTGTCTATCCCATGGATTCTCAGTTCCTATCATTCACGACCATTTGAAGCACGGTTCATCCCCTCTCAATAGCAAAATGTGTTCTTTGGTTGTGCTTATTTTCTGCGATTTTTCCGACAAAGTTCGCGGGAAACACCGCACACACACAAAAAAAACAGATTTTAGCATGAAATTTCCAAGCTTTCGAAAGCTCGCGACAAGCATTTCATCGTTTCCCACGATACGTCAAAGGTTTTGTGTTTCCGTACTTTTGATATTATGACATTTTAGGTCTCTCCCCCCTCCCCGGTGTGCAATACACGCAGAAACCGGGACCAAAACTGTGACAGCGTCACTTTAGAAACAGTTGTTTTTCCGTTCTGCCTGTGAAGCTGACACACAGGGTGGAGGTGGTTCTTATTTCATAAATTGCTTTGTTAGCAACCCGGAGATTCATAACGCTGACAAATGCGGAGCGGAACTTCCCTTGAACTCTGGAAGAGCTATTTCCTGGGATTGTACTCTCGCTCGCTTGTCTTTCGCGTGTTCAAAACTAAAATGTCCACTACCTCTGAAGAAGATCTCTCTTAGTACGCGATGGTCGCCTTGTTGCTTCATTTGTGCCGTACAAAAGTGCAAATGTGGTAGGTTATTCAGTTTCGCTCAGAATGCTAAGGTCTACTTCAGAACCGTCCAACCTTATCGTTGCCTGCCAACCTCCGGTACTGGTGAATGGAAGAGACCTTCGCTGCGGAGTTATTCATTAGAAAACGCCAACTAAACAGTTACAGACCATTGGACAGGGAAGCAAAACGCTTATATGTATCTTGTTTACAAAAACTGAATATCCATATTCTCCTTGAACGTGTTTTCCTGAACTTTCCTGGATATTCATTGACTGTTGCTCACTCCACCAAATTCCGCAGTAAATCTCCCTTTTCAAGAGACGCAAAGCGGATTTACGAGAAAACATACTACTCGCATGACCCCCATCAGTAGTATCACCGTTACACTGGTAGCTAACTAAGTAGCTCAGCATTTGCATTGTTTCTGCCCTTATTCTTTCGCCGTACTGCGTCCTAGATTCTGGAATGCGTGTTCTGCCTTCCCTTCCTAATCACTAGCGTAGACTGAATTGACTAGCCCCCAAGCTTTCTGTTTCTTGGGTTCATCCCGCCAGTGAGAACATACAGTTTATTAGTAGTTAGGATAATGTCAACTTGCACTGTAAGAGTGAGTCTCGAAAGGTGAAATCGGTGTGTGTTAGAGAAAACATCCGTCTTTCTGTTTCCTGCTCAGTGGAAATCATTGTGAATCCTGGGAAGCCCCTCTAAATAGCCAGACAATAGTTGAGTGCTCTACCTTCCAACTACAACCAGTTCGTTGGAGGTTCCGTGAACTTGATCGAGATAAACCACCAAATTCGTTTTAAGTGCAAGTTCGGACTCAGCCCTCTGAAACTGGACAGACTACTCTTGTTAATTTTCAGTAGTGTTCCGGAAGAACTTGCATATCTCTACGGATTGTCACAGCAAAGTGTTTTGCGGGTGTTTTGGAAAAGTATTGGCCCCATTTGAGTGGGCTTTTGGTAACGTACTTTAATATTGAGGTCACATATTTTATTACATTTGAAACAAACATATCAAGAGTAGATGATAAAACAACAGACTTTTGTGTATTTCAGCAGAATCTTGTCATAGCCGCGTGACTGACTATTTTGGTGCACCAATATCTTCCCCACACGTCGTTACCTTCTTCTCTGTTTCTCACACTCTAGTTGCTCTGCCAATTGTATGGAGTGTAGTGGTCCCGGCACAGGCGAATGCAGCAAGTGCAACTCTGGATTTCGCCTGACCCTCGGGCGCTGCGTGGATGGGAATTCGGTGGATGGACGGTGTAGTCCTGGTGAGTCCTGTCAGCCTGACTCCAACTGCTTTGAATTCCGTGATGTGTAGTGCCATTTCTGGGGACCTTCTATCCATTTCTCCCCAATCTTTCTGTCTTTTCTCTCTGCTGGTCTCAAAAAAGCTCCGATTTCCATAATCAATATCTCATTTGACAAAAGTGACATGTTAGTGAGACGGTCGAGTTCAGATATCGTCGTCTGACATGCTCAAGACTTCTAACTGCGTTACTCCTCTATCGCACGGCAAATGAATGCACAGCACTTTCACTTTTTAGTTCACTTATCATTACCACATGCTAGCCAGGATGTTGAGTCACTTTGGAACTGTCGGAAGTTCCGTACAACCCGATGTCTACACTTTCCACCAATATAGGCAGGCGAGAGAAGCACCGTCGTGAACCGACTGTCGAGCGATACAGGAAATATTTTCCTAAGAACGTTTGAACATTTGTTGAAGAACACTGCCTTCGCGTGGTCGTCACATTTTTTAAACCTCGCGAGTGTTTCATTGCCAACATTTCTGTGCCACTTACAACGTCAGATTGAACATCTGCTAAATGATATGGTGTGCAGTTGTTCATCTACTAACCTTCCATTCCACTGTCTGGTATTTGTACCCCACAAGTAGAATCAGCCCGTTTTACGTATCTTGGAAGTTGTATTAGTTCTGATTGTAGTGTGACAGATGAGGTGAATGCACGAATCTGCAAGGCTCGGGCCGCGTTTGCTAACTTGAGACACCTATGGCGTCAGAATGGTTTACCCCTGAATCTGAAGGGACGTGTGTATCAAGCTACAGTAAGGATTGTTTTGTTGTTTGGCTGTGAGACTTGGCCTATTCGAGCAGCGGACCTGAGACGTCTTCAGGTGTTCGACAATCGTTGTCTCAGAACCATAGCTCGTGTGAGTTGGCGTCGGCGAATCCGTAACGAGGCATTTAGAAAGCCTGGTTGGAGACACTACAAGATATGACTGCCAACCGATGTCAGTGGTGTTCTTGTTGTCAGTGTAGAATACTTCGAGGTATTCAGGAGAGCCCACTTGAGTGACGCGCAAGATCACAAGCCAGAAATTGTTGATCCTTGAGATTTATCAAAAGATGCGGTACTACATGTATAAAATACGCAATAAAAGGGGTACAAACCTCAAATTATGGGGGTTTCCGTCTAAACTGTTGCACGAAGTGGTGCAAGTCCAAGGAAAGCCCGGAGAAGATAGTAAATCGATCTTAGTTTGCGACGCACACCTGGGTACAACATGTGGTAACGCAAATAGGTCAAAAAACCCGCGTAAAGAATGGCCGACCAAACTGGTTCGACAAACCAAGGGTTAAAGTTCGTGAGGGGTTAAAAAATGTAAATAGAGCCCATGGGATAGACGTAGTAGCCAGCAGCAGATAAGGGAAGAGTTTGACTGGGGGAGAAAGTATAGCAATCTTGTGTAGGTTAGACCACGGCACAAGTAAGCAGGCCGCTAAGTGTTGAACACTGATGTCATGCTGTCGATGATGATGATGATGATTACCGGTCGGGGTTGCAATAGGCAGATTCTCAAGCCACTGACGGCCTGATTCTCAGCTTGTTGTAAGCCTGAAGAGAATCTGTCACCCGGGTGCTTGGTTCCATTCCCTATTTTTGTTGTATTTTCTCTGCTAAACCGGTTATGAATATTCTTCTGCATATTCTTCTGTATACGATACGCTTCTCCCTGGCTGACTCGTTTCGAATTCCAGCTTATTCTGTTGTCTGCATGGCAATCCTCTCTTCCCCGTTCTCTTTGTAGGGCAATACCTGAAAGACTCACACTGTGTAGACTGTGATCAAGGCTGTGATCCAACCGGTTGCCTCCCCGATGGTGATTGTTCACGTTGCAAGAGCGACTTCCCGTAAGTGCTGACCAATTGGATCCTACTATCTCCTTGAATCTGTCCGAACTCTTGATATATTTTCGCACAGGTCCTTTCATTAGACAACCTGGTAAGGAAGTGTTTTCAACGGGGGGCTTCGCCGCGAGGATGATATACTTGCTGAACACGTCCAGTGCCAATATATAGTCAATAGTCGGCGTTTTTTTACGAATCTGAGTCTTCGAGTGGTGGTAACTTGTTCCTGGCTTCTGTAGGACTGATACACAAAGAGGGCCGTCACCGTCTACGGTGTTTCATCATTATCAGCTGTATTCAATGTCCAAGTTGTCCATAGTTTTGTTCACGGATAAATGACGATTCGAGATGAGGGAATCGCGACCTGGAGGAGACGTTTCACTGAACTGTATATCTAATCGTAAACTCCTGTCGGCTAAAAGAAGGGCAACTTCCACGATTAGGAAATACCGTCAGGCTAGGTCATATTCATCACCTGAGGTGACCCGTTTCGAGGTACCCATCCGTCCAGTTACCGACTCGATCGAGTTTGCTCTTGACGATTTTTGTGGTTTCCCAGCCCAACTTTCTGCGCACTGTTCCGCTTTTGTTGAGTGGAAAGAGATCTGCAGGGTAGAAGGCTCTGTGAACTTCTGAGTAATCAGCTCGACCATTCGACGTTCGTCGGCATTGCCTACCGGTGTTCCAGTCGGACATAGGAAATGCTTCAAAGGCACCGATTGTGTAACACTAGCACTAATTGCATTCGGTTGCTTTTGTTTTGAGTGAAGTTCAGTAGCATACTGCGTACAACGAAGTGTAGTGGCCGTTGTCGCTTACCCTGCGAACATGCGGACTAGGTTCTCCCCGCATTTCCTTTTCCCGATCTCCTAGGTAAATTCTCTCGGCTGCTGGGACGACTGTGTGTGATTATCAGCGTCCTGTGATTGGATGCGTTGTTGCTTTTCGTTCCGTTCACTTCCATTTGCTCTCATGCATTTCCCATGTCTGCTGCCCTGTGGAGTGTCTTTCTGAACAACTGGTCAAAATACGGGAACTAATCGATCCCATTGAGCTTTTCCGTCACAGTTTAACTACTGTTAAATTACAAGTAGTGTATTGATGTAGATGAGCCTTAAGGTTTTCTGTACCCAGTCCTGGGGGAGGAACAGTTCGAGTCTTAACCAAAGCCTCTGACACAGGAAATATAACCAAAAGACAGTAATAATCACTTACGATTATAAGGGGAGGAGACTGTCCTGGTTGGTTACTGCGTTAAAATCCTCCGACGTGGCTTAGAACAACGCCATCGGTTTCGGAAAACCCCAGTGACAGGCACTTCTTCCATGCTATTCAAGTTTTCTACCTTTCTTTCTAGCTACATCTTGAACTCGAGTTGCGTGAAGGCATGTCCGACCGGATGGTTTGCAGGTCCTCCACTACCAGATCCCTTCACCCTGGCGTCTACCAGTCCACACGACGCCGTATCTCACCCACGTCGTTGTGAGCCTTGTCCCCCTGGCTGCCAAGACTGTACGGCTTTCGAAAACTGTACACGATGTGCCGATGGCTTGAACTTGCAGAACGGCACTTGCATTTCAACCAGGTATGTGTTGCAATTGGTATTGCTTTTTATTTTTTTGTTTAATTGTTAACGTCAGACACCAAGTATGCCTTCCTAGTTCGGCCATTGTGATGTATTTCACAGGCTGGCGATACAAAGAATCTATCGAAACGGAATCCGGCCATTAGTCACTCTTATAACAATGATGAAGTAAATTTTGCCCAGACCCACGATTTATGATCATCATCCCAAGGGAGACCTCCACGCCGTTGTCCTCCTCGGAGGTCAGAGACCGCCTACTAGATGATGTTTGACAGAAAATCTCGTTAAAAACTTTCCTTGGAAGAGATTTCCCCTGAGGAAGAATTCCGTATGTACATGAATCACATGGACACTTCTTAGGCCGTCGCCAGTTTAACGCATGCCAAAGTAAAGGCATGTTGATCTGAACCATGCCCTTTACATCTCGAGGTTATTTTACTGGATGGAATAGAAGCTAAGCTGGTAGCATTTTGATAATGATTCTCTCTTGATCTCCTTGTATTTTCGATAACCTATTGGCATAATCAGATCTTTCGGCGAAATCTGTTGTCGCTGCTTATCAAAAATCAACTGCCACGATTTGTGTGCCATGTACGTACGCAAAACGTTACAGAACTGAGGCTGAGTTCCGCAGCCACGTAGCTCTCCTGTTTTATGTTGACTCCTCGGAAGATACCTCTTTTGGTCGGTCTCTTGAAGATTCTCGGCTCGCCTTGTTTTCCTCGGTATTGGTTTTCACATGAAGTAAGTCTTACCTGTTCCCATTTGACTCGTTCGCAGGGCTTGTCATGGGTCCTGCGTCATGTCATTTAATCGATCCTTCCGACTTCACACATTTCGCTTTATGCGTTAAGATGGTGCCAAAAATATGAATTGGACTACGGCCGCATGAATTATCGAATACAAACGCCATAGTTAGTTGTCCTTGGTAATGTGGTGAAATATTGGTAGCTCGGGTGAGTTTATTGGTTGTTGATCAGGTGGCTGTTGATCTGTTCGCAATTGGCTTGCAAACGTTTCGTCACCATACGAGGAGACATCATCAGTGCGCACTGATGAGAGAAAGGCAATAGTAACCTGAAGAGCAAGAGCCGGTTGAAGTTTATGGTGGACATGTTTTTGTATGTTTCAGTGACCGTCTCAGAGGAATTTCATTGATGTAGCACCTACTACCACTGTGTGTACTAATGATGGTGTTGACGAGCGTCTTCTTGGTTATCTAAATCCGAACCACTATTGTTGTTTAACACATTGGTCTCTCCCTCTTTTGACAAACGGAATTTCACTGTATTTCTCGTTCATCTGAAGTGTCATACCTTCACCACTTGGAGCATCTTTATACGCGCTACTCAGCGTTTAATGTTTCTGTCTATCTTGCTTTCTGTCAGCGCCTCGTTGCCATGCCATCCTCAATGTGCCACCTGCTTCCGAAGCCCATTCGATTGTCTGACCTGCCCACATGACCGTGTTCTTCTTCCGAATGTACTGATCGAACAGGTACGTTCCAAGCTACTGTTCCACACCGCCAGCCTACGGAGCCGAGCACAACAGACAGAATCCACCACTCCGATTGCAATGACTTCATCCTACCTATGCCCCAGTGTCTGTCCTCACGGCACTTTCGCCGACCGATCAGGTGATGGAACGATTTGTCGGGCATGTTCACCTTCTTGTTCAAGATGCACTGGTAAGTATCCTTATCCGGTCACCCAGCTGGCCTTCACTTTTTTCAAGGAAATATTTTTTTTACGTAGCTTAGAACTTCTTGAGCCACCAGGGAGCTAGACCTAATCCAATAATCAACATCGCTTTCGTGATGGACAATCTGAGGACCAACTTTGCATACACCACCACATTTCTGCATGGTTGCTCTCTTTTCCATTTTTCAATACGGTCCACTTTCGTTTCGCATGCTGGAAGTTCACCTTCGGTTGCATATCTGGTATGTCAC